CAAACTGTTAATAAGAAACTGTTGTATTTCTATACATATACGTACTCTTTTCGGTGCATCGATGTCCCACGTTAATTCACTTAATAATATTCGCGATGAATTGCGATAAATCGCGATTATCAAAGAATTCTTATTTACCTTTTTAAAATCTTTAATATATTATACCAACCATTGTTATTTTTATCGTCATAAGTTTTAAGATCGCTTTATCAGAGACAATTTGCGTTATAGTCTGGAGTACGTGCAAGGAATCGAGACTTAATGCGTCGTTTATCTTATGTGCTCGAGATAAAGTATGCACGAATTATTAATATACGGCGCCACATGAACGCAACGAACTTGATAGTGTGACGTACAGCTGCTTTAACCTTGAGTAGCGCAAAACTGAGCCGACGCGTGCAATTGATCTCATATTATATGCAACTGCATATGAGATGTAGTGCACAGGTTACATTATACTTTCTGAACGCAAATGTAAGTTCTTAGAACTACACGTATCTCTTGCGATATAAACAATACAGTGAATTATTTTTCTATTACGATAGCATTGAAATCGCAGTTATACTTTGCCGCACTCTAAGCATCGTTGATTTATTTACGTTGAATATAGTGCACTGCATTCTATCTTTTATAAACATGTTTTGATTCTTTAAAATCTTTTAATTTAATATCTTTTATAAATTATACATTGTAAAAATATAAAATATTCTTTTATTACGCGAATTTATCTAATTATGTGAAATATCATTTTATGATATAAAATTATCGTAATGGTACGTAATTTTATTCTCTTCACAATGTAGATTATTAGTCTATGTATATTTTTATGCGTATTATTTTTTGAAACGGAAAAAGATATATATTTAACTGAAATATGTATATTATTTCAAATAATTTAATTTATTGTATTTAATATTGTATATTTCTCTCGAATTTACATCTTTAAACAATATTATATATATACTTTATCTCATACACCGCCACATTATTTACAAATTTGATAAATTATTTATCATCAATAATGAATCGATCGCGATTTACTGCAGATACTAAAAGATACGAATCGGAATAGAATATACGTGAAATCGATACACATTGAAGTATCTATTCGCATCCGTTTTCCTTAACAACCGCTTTTAACGATCGACATGACTGTGTAATAGGTAGCATCTGTTACAGGAGGTGCACTCATTTACAGATACTTTTAAGGCCGGTAACATTCGCTTAACGGCTGCGCCGTCGTAAAGGTTATTGGCGTGTTAACTTCACTTTTGCACGTTTATCTTTAACATTTATAGGACGCGCCGGGGCGAGAGTTACGATCACGTGTTTATCGTCCGCGCAAGACTTCTTCACCGGCACTTCACGCCGGATAACACGCGCTTCAAGACTTGTAACTCCTTGTAACACACTATAGCAAATCTACAATTATCACTGAGGCTTTTTGCTCTGCAACATCTTGAGCACGTACCTCGTGTAAAACTTTAAAACCGATTAAGATACGAAAACACGTATCTATCTATCGTAGCAATTACAGCAACATAATTTGTTTACGTCTAGCTGCAACGCTTGTGAATTACGCGTGCAAGATAATCGTAATGTAATATTATCATCGATATTATTATAATCGGGTACATTTTTTAATTTAGTGTATTTGTTTTTTTAATTATTTTACATATAATTTTAAATTAATTAGGTACTCTTGTATCAAAATTTTGCCATTGAACATTTTTACGCACGTATAGTGTATGTAGCGACAATACTATGTGTAGCATCGGAAAATGTATGGCTTCGTGTCATACAAGAATGTATGCTATCACGACTATGCAGCGGCGCACTTATCGATAAATCAGATCGTAGGGTCATGTTCGACTTTCGGTGGCGTCCGTCGTTGTGACGCACGAACCTCGTGTGGCCTATTTCCTACGAACGATTTTCCGCGAATTGCCTCTATTATGTCCAATTATCGGCTCCGATGAAGAAGAGCGATCGAGGCCTGCCCAGGGTTGAAGAACATCGCTTTAAACCTCGTCTCGCCAGTCATAGCATACGGTGAAAAATTGGGAAAATAAAATGTTATCGGTGTGAAATGCCGATACTTTCAAATAAATTGTATTAAGTATCTAGCGATTAAAGTTTTACTTCGAAGTAATATTCGCGAATGCAGCAAACGGATAAGAAGGGGGTTGGAAGGAGATGAGAAACAAAAGTGAACGCCGCGTTGGCGCCCTACTCTGTACACGACCAAAGTGAAAAATCTGAAAACACATTGTCCAGACTCGAAGGTGGAAGGGCGGGGGTGATGGGGTGATGGTTCTCGAGGCCATTCTCGACGGTGAATGAACGGCACTTGAAGCGAACCTTGTTTGCGCAACGGCCACGTCTCACGGCGTGGTTCGCGAAGAAACACCGAGCAATTAAGGCCCTTCTTCCAAGATCGACATCCACTCGTGTCGTACCTCCGGAACGCTCGTGGAATCCTTCGCGTTGCTGAAATGCCTCCTCCTCGGTCGTTCAGCGTCAATTCCTTTGACGTTTAGTTAGCGCCAATCTTAAGCCCTCGCTTGCTGTACACATTTTCTATTACATCTACTGTAATTTTCGTGCTACAACCATAATTATAACAGAAGTGAAAAATATTTACAGCCTTGCTGATAGCCTCCTTTTTCGTTTCCTGATTAATAAAGATCTTAAGATTGATCGAGGAAATTAAGGGATTACCGCTTTGCATAAGATCACGAGCGGCAACAAGATAGGGTTATTTTTTAACGCGCTAAGATGGTATTTGATTGATAATCCTAGGTCTTGTGGATAATTTTTTATAAACAAAATTTATAAAATATTAATTGCTAACAATCAATTTGTAAAACAACATCGACAGAGATTTTATAATTTCTTTCGAACTTTTTTACTTTTTTATGTTCTCAAAGATCTTTGAGTAATTTAGAAGGGGCGAATCATGCAACTTTATCGCAACTTTGACCTGTTGAGCTAGAAATGCTTTCCATGAGGAGCTATCGCCGGTCACCCTTGTCATGGAATTCGCCTTATTACGACGTCGGCATATCGCCGCCGCGATACGACACGCCAACTCGTTTATAATCCGATTTCATTGTTGTTGTCGTCGCCGTTGTAGTGGTTCGTACAAGCGAGATTAAAGTGACGGCGTAGTCGCGTCGCGTCACGAAAGGACGCCGGAAAAATTGAAGAGAACATAAAAGGGACGTCGGCGAAGGTTGATTTTAATTCATTTGCGGATAGTCAAGGACTGCCGGACACTCGCTAGACTCCCTCTTGTACTTGAGTTAATGCCAGCCATCTCCGGTGTTTATGGAAGAAAAGATAAACCGTTTAACTTTTGCTTTTGATTTTTCCGTTATGTATTTAGGCAAATTTATTCCGCATGACACAACAAATTTAAATGGTTTATCAAATTAATGTATTTTAGAAGAGTCATTGTTTTTACGACACTGAATATTCTTTATATACAAATATACGTATTGCGCGTATTTTTTCTTAAATTTACAGACAATATGACACAATTTTAAAGCCATTATTTATCTTATATACGTTTTTTTATGCTGAGATGTTTATAGCTTCCGCTATTTTATAAACTCGTTTACGCGATTAATTAGTTAACTAATCAAATCAATTATCCGCTAATAAATCATAATCTTCGTAGCATTTTTAATTATCCGCCTCTCGTCCTTCCCCCTCTCCGCTTTGTATCGATTGACACAAATAAAAATATCTGTCGTTCGTTCGAACTTCGTTCCGAGACACGAAGGAGGAGCGGGGATTAAGGATGGGGCGCCTCTGAAATATCCATCTTCCTTAACCCAGTAAGAAGCGCGTTTTCCGATCAGTTAAGCCCCACTAAACCTCAGCGACGTTCCTAAGAGAGCCTCGGAAACGACTGGGAGAAGAGGTAAAGAAAAAAAAAGACAGGGAAAACCGACGGCAAAGCCGAAAGGGGGTGAGTTTCGGGGGTTCTTCTCGAAGCGGGAGGAAGCGCCGAGCTCCCGACTGAGAGTTCGACCAGATAGAGCCGTGATTGAAAACTCCGCTCCCGGCGGCACGAGTTTCGACTTAAGTGTACATACACACGCGTGGGCGTACGCGGAGGAAGATACACGCTCGATGTGTTCTTCGACTCTCAACTACACTACATTACTTACGCACTACTTACATATGGAATAATGTAAGTAGTGCGAACTCAGTTGGAAATTCAATAAATTTCCTCTCCTTTCGTGCGCAGCAAACGGAAAACAACCGGAAGTTCCGCGCCAGACTGGCTGACCATGTCTGTCTTTTTTTTTTACTCAAATGTTCTATTTGGGCTAACTCTCGCGTCTGTATCGAAGGAGCGTGACAACGCCTCGAAGGCTTCGTGAAATAATCGGTTGATGCTAACTCCTTAATTTTACACGTACAAGTTTCGAGTACATAGTGTGTACATAGTTGGGCCATGCCGAGTTTACATTCCAGTTTGTTTTGGTGCGATGACCGATCCGATCGCTCTATCCTTATTTTCGTATTTATATTGATTCAGTTGAACGATTTTCATCAGTCGTTGACGAATTGTCGTGGAAATAAAAACTTGTCAAACTTTTGTCAAGATTTAGATAAATTTGAGAAAAAGTATCCGATTTCTAATGGCAACTCCTGTTTCCGTCTGGGAAAATAGTTACCATGAACTTTATTCAGACTATCAGTGTACACAGATACAGGTAAAAATAATGAAAGAAGACAACTTATAATAAATCTGAATGAAAACGTTAATTGTACTTGGACGCACTAAACCGCATTGTATGAATAGACGACAAAGACGACAAGATTATCTCCTTAAATATTATGCGATCCTAGCATTTTCCTTTTATTTACGTGATCATTTGTATTCTTTTTCTCTCCTGGGGTTATACATTTACGACAAGCTAGACATTAAGTTCTCAGCTCATTTTACGTGACGACTCACGGGGGATTCATTCTTTTTGTTTCAGGTTAAGCTCGACAAGAGTCACAGCGGCAAACCTTCCCGAGTCATTCATATCAGGAACATACCTAACGAGGTGTCTGAGGCGGAGATCATCCATCTGGGTCTGCCCTTCGGCCGCGTCACCAATGTCCTCGTCCTCAAAGGAAAGAATCAAGTAAGTGTCCATTCAATTACAAGCTATTTTCGCAACTACTGTGCGATTGCGAGCAGCGTGCGAAAGGACGCGCGTAGGATTGTTCGTGAGTTATTATTCGAACGGCGCAAACGCGAGTAAAAAAATTAATCGCGAAATAAAGGACGCGAGGGAACATTCCATTTACCGATTACTCGGGACGCACGCGAATCTTTTAGCGTGCGGTGCTATTGTTGCGTAACGACGTCATTTACACGTATTCTTGCGAGTCGAAATACTGCGCCACTCGTCGGACGAAGCGGAGATGAGAGCGTTGCTGCGGCGCACTCGAGAAGTGGGTTCGCGCTGCTGCGACGCGCATGACCGGCTGTGCAATAGCAGAGACAATCGAATCGCCGATACGCGGTCGAATCGAGTCGGCGATCGTCCGTTTAAGCATTATTATCCGGTATTACCCGCGTTTCGCTCCGTTCCGCGTCACGACAAAGGCGGCCGTGCTCTCTAGTCCGATGGAAACACAACCCCTCGATATCGTCGTCCTCGTCGGGTCTGACCAACCTCCACCCCACAGCAGCTCGCCCTTTCTCTTGACGCTCGTTCGTGACGCTACACGCATCGCGGCGCTATTATTTCGTACGACGAGAGCCGGTTTATCGAGTTCCAGTCTCGGTTTATCGAACAACGTTTCCCCATCGACCGACTCGTCTCGTTTTCGTGTAATCCGCTGTAAATGCAGCGCATAAACGCACTTACGGATTCTCTTACCTCGATTGTAAAGAGTTGAAAAACGATCTTTCCCCTGCGCGATATATTTTCAATGGATCTCGCGGTCTTTCGTCGTATTCGTATTATTATTTAAGATCGTAAATCTACTTTTATCTTTGTACAAAAATAATACGAGACAGAATGTTCTAGAAAATCTATTTAACAAAAAATTATCTTTAAATTCACTAAAAGTAATTATATTAAAATCATGTAAATTTGATTATACGACAATATAACGTACTGTGCATTATTGATTGACTGTATATTTTTATATACAATTAAATATGAGTATATTTTTATTCAGCTCTTTTTATACATATAAAAAGACAGTATTCGAAGGAGATAAATCACACTTTTTCGACATCGTGTTTTAATAGCTCCTGATTTGTTTCGATACTTCACTGTTATTGCTAATCAAAGCTGACGAAACGGCAAATTCGGAGCAATTTTCCGGCTACGGTTATGATCGAGTTTTACGAACGATACTAATCGACGCATGTGATCTCTCCCGGTGTACGTATGCTCAATTACGCACAAACGAAATTACGTTTACGCGGGTGCGCGAGCAGATCGTTCCAGCCTGCGTGATCGAAATATCAATTTGCTTTGACGACATTAATTCCGTGCTCGCACGTGCGACAATACTCACCAGAAGGTTAACGTCGCTTCATAAAGCTCTGTGGGTGTTTTGCGATGTATGTCGCCAACGAACGCGTGTTCAAATAACAACACTTGTACATCTCTCGCCGCACCGTGACTTTGCGCCCGCATGCGATACAATCGCAACAGACAGTGTAAGTGGTTCTACAGATACATTCGGATGATCTATACCTGTTATCTGTTACGTGTTATCTCTTTACGTTTTTACCTTGATATTTTTATGGAAATTGCGACATAATTAATTAACGGTGCTTATATATTTAATTCCTGCGTATTTTTTTTGCACCATGTTGTTAAAAAAATGTATTTCTTTTTCGGAATGTAATTTTCTCTGGAATCAGTTTATTATTTATACGCCTATACATCTAACATGCAACATACATAAAATGCACAACATGCAGTAACATAATAGCATAACAATAAAATGAGGTTATCTCGTGAAAATGCAAAATGTTGTGTTTATAGACAGAGCTCCTCGTATAAATAACGGAATAGTTAATGAAATCAAAATGCTGGAGGGTCGAGGTAGAGAGTTAACAAAACAAAAATATAGCATACATTGCCGATAAATAATACAATATTATATCGTATTTATATGATTTTAATGCCTATTTTTTTAATGAATTTGCAGATGTTTTGTGTTTTTGTTAAATAGATTTTTTGTAACATTCTGTTTAATACTATTCCTATCACACGAAATAGAATTTCATACAATAACGAAAGGTGAACTACAAACATTCTATGCACTGTCACGATGTCTCTATAAATTCTCATAACTTCCGGTAGCAATGGTTATTCTCAGCTATGTAAGCGCGGATTGCAAAAATAGGCCAACAGCTCCACATTGCGTTGTTCTCGACTTTGAACAATGTAGATAGCCCACGGTGACATGCTGTAACTTTGCATGCTTGCTCCGCGTTTAAAATGTGTTGGAAACTCAAAATTACGCTTTATATTTTAAGAATCAGTTATATTTTAAAATAATATATTTAAATTTAATGTTTCATGATATGAATAAAAGAGTAGATTTATATTATACAAAAACAACAGCTTTGTTCAGTTTAAATACATTTAACAAACAGGTATCAAGTTAAATTCATAAAATATTTTATCAATTTTACTGGTAAATAATTATATTTAAATAATATGAGATTAAATTATTATTTTTAAATTTCTTTTATTTGTTTAAATTTATCATCAGTACTTCAAAATCCGTTTTATCACATGTTACTCTGCATTGTTTTTTTATACCGGTCGTTCTTCGAGTTTTCAATGAAATTTTTCCGATACGATTAAGCGAATTAATGGCGAATCATCTCTGAAATGGGGGCGAGGGAGGGGGATCGAGCACTAAACGGGGCGAGGATATGATTTGAGGGCGCACAAGCTTCGAATGGGATTAAATTGGAACACCGAGTATTCATCATAGCTTACTGCACGGGAAATATTTGAATAACTTGTAAATCCTCCCGAGTGCGTTTGATGGCGCGCTTTGGTTTCGAAATCTCTCACGATTTATTTTTTATTCACGCTATTTCCTAATCACTCTTGGCTATTCTTCTGATGTGATGGTACTTTTTACTTGAATCTCTTGATGTCTTTCTTCAAGTTATTGCATCGTTTTAACCAAAAGTTGATTCGTTCATCGCTATTTAAATCGTGCAAATACAAAATTCTTAATATTTTTCTCAATTTGAGATAATAATTCAATTGATTTTAACGCAATTTATTTTCCCAATTATATTTCTATCGCAATCTTATCATATTAGCGTCATCGCTATTTCAACTATATTTCGAGGAATTTGAATTCTTTGAGTATAAAATCAACGATATATGGAATAAACCTTTCACCGTGTGCATGTCGCTTCAAAGCGCATTGCCTAATCAGCGCGGTTAATTGCAGCATGCGCTTTGCGTGACATATGCAATAGACGAAGCGTCCTATTTGGAATCCATTAAATGAACTGCGCTATAACGGACACAGAATTCCTTCAAAGGCATGTCAGCGGTATTACATTACGCAAATCTTGCGGATTAATTCTCTGAAAATATCCTTGTTCCGCGAACAATCTCGAAAAGAATCGGATTACCTACTTTGATCTCACACTGCAAAAAATTGCACCAATGTTTTCGCGTTCAACGGCGTCAATTTTTACACTTTTTACGCATTTTTCTGTGTCGCAAATTTATTTACGAAAACATTATCACGTTGGATAAGAAATAATGAAACCTTTCCGAGGCTCGACTGCCAAACACGTTTCATATCGCGTTCCTCCGACATTTCGAATGCTGCTGCGCACACACGTAGAATTCCCCGCATACGGAGATCCTGCGCGGTGCGTAAGCACCGCTAATGCATATATAATTTGCACAAGGGGTAAATCTCTTCATCTGGCTCAATGCGGCGGACTGGTGCATCGATGCATTACTTTAATCCCCTCCCGGTATAAACAGCGGCGCGTGGCCCGGCTCGATTCGCATTATCATACCTGTTGTGCGCCGTCGTATTAGAGGCAGAGCCTACGTATGTGTGGGACGGGAAGGGGGTAAACGTGACGCACGCTAGCATTAAACGCACTCGCATAATCTCGTTCGGGGTTGCGTCGATAAAGCCACGGCGATTCCGCCGAAAGCCAGTAGTCCACGGTGACCCGATTTTCCGAAATACGAAAGAGAACAAGCGCGGCTTTATCAGCCGTGCGATCGCCTCATTAAACCCAGTGATTTTCGTTTGTCGCGACAGAATCGTTCTGTCATACGCACACACGCCCGTCATTTCTTGTTTACCGGATTATTGCACGTCGAAACTCGTTTCATCGATCGACGGGTCATTTGCACGACGCTTGTGTCGAAGTGTCTCGGTGAATTATCTTGAAGGAAACAAGTTTGCACGCGGAGCAATAATTTTATTTTATTCGCGCTGCAATAATCCGATGATCCATAAGTGAGATCTAATTAGACCGGAGAGCGATAACGTTGGGCAGTACGGTTCGCCATCATAATGAGCGGGGATTAAAATCATAATAATCAGGAAATTATGGACAACAGTTATGATCATTAGCCACAGCTGAGAAGGGTTTTCCCAGTTGGAATTACAGCAAATCGCGGGAACGTTCCGCGCATCGTGAAATGCAATTTCCTAACTCACCGTCGGCCCTAGCCGTTCAGGAATCGCGATTCAACCGTCCTTGTCCGCCCGCGGCAGCCAAGACAATCCCGAAGTAACTCGATCAGGTGGGGAAACTCACGTTATTATCGTACGCCCGAGCTTAAGCTTCCCAATTACACGCAAACAGACGGCGCGCCGCAGCGACGACGGAGACTACATGACGACAACGACGAGGAGGAGCGCGCGTGCATTACGCCGCGGTAGTAAATCGAGTTTCACGATGAACCTCCGGCCCGGCCCGGGCTGACCCCCGCGGGCACTTTCGCCGTGTTTGCTTTGATTCCAAGTTTCCGGTTAAGTTGGTTACCAGAGCGGGCTCTTTGTCCGATCCTGCAAACTCCCACGTCGCCCCCCCCCTCCCCTTTGTTTTCGCTAGCGAATTTTCTGCGCGTCGTTTCACGCGCGATTTTCCTCGGCGATGAGGATT